AAAAAAAAAGTTTTAGATAGGTGTGCTCCACATTCGCACTTATAGTAAAATTTATATATAAAAAAAAAATTTTTGTTCATATAACTCGTGATTTGCCAATTAAGCTGTATCAGAATTTATGCTTGGCTATCTCAAATAAAAATTCGACCTGGCATAAATTTAAACTTCTAAGTTATTTACCAGCATATAAATATTTTAACCATGTACAAAATAGAGGTTATTCTTCTAACTGTATTTTTCAACTAATTCAATATAGTATTTAGGAGTTTCAGATGCAAACTTTGAATACAATCCTTTGTAAATTTCTACTCCAAGTTTAGCATCTATCAAAGGTCTTTGTCCAGTTGACATTTCTGCTATAATAACACCAAACCCATAAATATCTGCTGCTTGTATAAACTGTTTCTTGCCTTATAAAACTTCTGGGTATATCTCTAAATTTCACTAGTTAAAACTATGTCTATTTTTCTAGACAATCCTAGATCTGTGATATATAATTATGTACTTTTATTAGTAGACTGGTCTTGCAAAATATTGCTACTATGAAAATCTGCATGAATGTATTCTGCCTAGTGAAAATTATATAACTTATGATTTATTAAATCATAAATGGCGATTAATAAGTAAAAGTGGGATATAAATTGATGGCAGATCTAAAATATTATAAACAAGAATAAAAAAATTTAAAAGTATATGATAAGATAAATACTCATAAATTTTGATTATAGTATTTTTTTATACATATAATAGTGTAATACTTAATATTGTCAAAGATTAGTTCTACTATATTTAGTTCTAAAAATAAATTTATATTCAATACCCGATTTGTATAACTGATAGATGCTTAACTTTTTCGAAAACTTGAAAATCAAGTTTTTACTCGATTTTGCCAAGCACTATATAGAAGATATATTTTAAAAATAATTTATAAAAAAAATAATCAAGATTTAGTAATAATAAAGAAATATAGAATTTTTTATTTAGTATTTTAAATATAATATAGATTTAATAAGAAGAGTTAATAAAAATGATAGTATAAAAAATTTTGTGGTTATGTATATATTTTTTTTTTATTTTTAGTTAATTTTGCTTTTATTATTAATATAGAAGTACCAAAAAACTCTATTTTTTGGCTAGCGATTCTAATATAATCTTTTTGTACTATATTTTATTCTAATAAAGACTTACTTGGCCAAAAAACCCAGATATAATTTGTCAAAATAGCTAATTTACTTCATATCAGATCCTTAATTTACTGAGAATTTGAACTCTCTGATCTTTAGCTAGAGACCAATGTCCCACATTAAGCAACAAAAAAGAAAACACTAACAAAAATAATACAGAGGTATAGAGATCTACAATAAAAAAATACAAACAAAAATAAAAAGGATAAGGGAGTAGTAAAAAAAAAAAAAAAAAAAATATGTAACCTAATGCTATAGTTGTAGGCTTGTAGAAGGCTTGTAAAGAATACATACTACTTATATGTATATAATTTTTAAACCTAGTATAGACTTTAGTATATATATTTTTGTTTATTTTTTTCTTTATCTGTAGCTTAAATTATTTTGTTAGACTAAATTCAAATAATTAGTATAATAGCTAATAGGCTTGTAACCACTAGCTATTGACCAAAGAAATTAAGTTCTTAATAAGTTAAAGACCCAAAGAAAGACCAAGTACTACTAAGACAAATTATATTTAAGCATTAGCCAGATATATTTTTTGTTTTAATAGATTAATATAATTATAGAAAGAAATTCTTGTAATTTTTCAAATAATTTAATCTCAATAAACAGAGGCAAAATAGCCAAATTATAAAAAAAATATATTTAATACTTTAATACTATCTAATATATATAATAAAAACAAAAAAAATAATAATAAATTTTTATCAAGTTTAATTTAATATTTATTAAAATATTTTAATTTAAATTTAAAAAAAATTTATTAAAAATAATTTAATTAGTTTCTATTAACTAATATTAATTAGATATTTTATACTATTTAGTTCGTTAATATTAACCTATTTAAATTGGTTTTAAATCATGTTGATAGTAATATTAATAAAAATAATATTAAAGTTAATATATATATGTAAGGGAATTTTATAAAAATTTATAAAAATTTGTCTTGTGGTTTAGGTTGATATTAATGAGGTTGATATTAACGGGTTCACCTGTATTACATAAATCAAATACTATAATACGTACAAGCAGTAATCATTATATATATATATTACTATATATTTTAAAATATTAAAAAATAATATATATTTTTTTTTTTTTTTTTTTGAATATAAAAATAATATTTTTGTATAGCTTTGGTAATAATAAAATATATAGATTTTTTGATTGATTTGATTAGTTAATATTTATGTGCTATAAAATCTAAAAGCTTCTAAAAGTTTCTAATCAATATCTTCTATAAAAAATGCGATACAAATATCTATTTTTAGTTTTTGGATCAAATCAATTAACTAACAGAGTACAAAATTGTATTGTAAAATGCCAGAAATTCTGGTTATGACTGATAAATTCCGACACAATTTTTTATCAATCAGAAAATTTCTGTTACTTATCACGTAATAAATTATATACGTAATAAATCATATTCATAATAAATTATATTCGTAATAAATTATATTTGTAAAAATACGTAGTATTTGATATATTAAATTTTCGTTATTAATACATAATATGTACGTAAGTTTATATATATATATAAGTTCTTTTAAAAAAAATTTTTTTTAACTAATGGATCAAAGCGAAAGTAACCAAAGCAATCAAAATCATCATGAATATATTCAAGACAACCATGAAAGCGATTATAATTATGAAAATGACCAAAGTTACCAATACGATTATGAAAGTGATCAAAGTAACCAAGAATTA